CCTGCAGGGCATGCACCCCTCAGGCCCTCCTCCTCTGTGCAGCACCCTGCGCGCTCCCACCCGCCCTGTGGCACCCCCTTCTGCCCAGTGAGTCAGCCGCTTCCCCAGACAGCTCCTCCCCAACCCTTATGCTGTGCTCCAGGGGCCTTCTAAAGGAAAGGGCCCATTATCCAAAACACAGAGCTTAAACATACACCTCTTAAGAGTATCTGTTTCTCAGTAATCTTCTCCAAACTAAAATCAATCCACCAGTTGGAATCATTCCAGCTCTTCATCCTATTTTCCCAGAGCAACTCTCTCATTCTACCTCACCAGAGACCATGCACGCAGCACTACATGTAATAGGTGAGAGGCACTTTTATCATTCTCCAGGGACCAGCTTGTCCTGAAAAAAGAAAACAGGCCCCTGCCAGTGCTTGATCCACAACCTTCAGCATGATATTTTATGTTTCTGCTCCTAGCTGTAGCCCCAGAGCACTCTGAGAGCCACAGACAGCACACACAAGTATTTCACTTTTGCTTGTGTGACTCTGACTCCCCTACCAGTGAAAAATAACAGCCCTGGGTTAGGCATCCACGTGCAGGAGCACACAGCGACTCCAGCACTCAGGAAGAAGTGCTGATGAGGTAGAGCTGAAGAAGAAGGTTGAGAAGCTGAACCATGTCCCTCTGAGACAGCTCAGGATTCCCTTTTCACAGCCTCCTGCTGGAACTAGAGATCTGAGCAAAAGAACAAGAACAACAGTCCCCTCAAAGCCTCTGGGACCATGAAGTTGTTCCCAACCCAGTGTGGAGGTGGGGGTGATGAAAAGACACTGCCACGTATATGGTCAGGAAAGATTTATTATCAATGCTGACTAGCATTTTTTTGTGAACTTTGTAATCATTCACTTCCTTTAACCCATACACATTGGCTGATTTACAGTGTATTTCTCAACGGAAACCATTTTCAAGTGCAATCAATGCTTGGCCTGCAGAACTGCAGGGAAACCCGTCCCCACCCACACAGCAAAAACAGTCAATTCTGCAACCTTCTAATGCTGCAGATTTAACTTGAATGTCTTCCTATAACACTCATCCATGTGCGCTTCAGGGGATTGCTTTAAAACAAATAGGGGATGAGCAGAAGTAAGAAACCTCCAGAGATGTTGGTTTGGGAGCTGCCAATTTTGTAATCCTGATGCAACCAACAAAAAGATTTCAGGGGTACTGCAAAACTTAGAACCACAGCCACCTTCCAGCACCAGCACCCTTAGTCCATCTCCCTCCAGGCTCTGCACTGATAACTTGTGTTCTCAGTCAGCCAATTTGTGGGTCTAGCATTCAATTTACCTCCAACAGACCATACACTACAGCACTACACGCTGTCATCGGGCTGCTACCTCACTCCATCCATCTCAGTTTCGCTCCAGCCATTAAGCTTCAATAGAGAAGCTATAAATCAGCTCCCAGCAACTCATCTCCCTGGAACAGAAAAAGGATTTATATACTGTAGGTTTTTATGCCCGGAGTACCAGACAGCTGCATAATGTCCCAGAAGCATGTGCCCCACTATACAACACCAGGGAGGAAAGGTAGCACAGAAAGTATCTCCTATGGAAGACTGCTGTTCACAGCCAGCCAAAACCAAGCTTTAGTTGTGAAGACCAGGTCTGAGATGTGAGCTGGCTGCTTCATGTTCTAAATGTGAAGGTTGGATCTTGAAGCCTGAAGTTTCCAAACTGAGGTGCAGAGCAGCAGCTGGTTGTCCACAGTCACACAACAGACTTTATCTTCTATGTGCTGAATAGCATTAGAGGCAAGGATGATTCCTCTTACATTCTTGTTTCTTTTCAGACACAACACACCTCTGTTGCACTAGTGCTTCTCTGGTAGCCCAAGATCATGTCTGCATGTCAAACCTCTGCTATTCAGTTCACAGATGACTGGCTTTATCCTCACTTCCACAGCCCTTTCCACACTTCAGCTGTCTATACCATTCCGGCAAAACAGTCTGCTGACAGCATGCAGATGACTTGCATAAGCAGTCTGGGACGACACTAACACATTGGTGTGCTTAGGCTACACGTTCTGAGCATGACTCCCCAATCACCTTGTAAGCTTGTGTTTTCCTTGGCCCACAATCAGATCTCTGGGATCCTGGGGCTGCCATTCATGGACAAGGCAAACATTTCTTCTATGTCTCATCTACCTGTACCTAAAAGGATCCAATAACATCACTTTGTATCAGTTCCCTCATGGTTCAGAGGGAAGCTGGGAAGAGCCCAAGGCTGGCAAATCATCAAATTGTTAACTTCTTCAAAGCAGTCAAAGTCAGCTTGCAATGCCCCAGATAAAGGATGAAAATAAATGGATGCAAGTTAAAAGAGCAAAAAACATGCTTGGGGAAGAGCTGTTTGCACCCAACACTTGAAAATCAGGCTTCTTGCCATGGAGCTTCATTTTAGGCACTGACAGGAGAAAATGAGGGCCCAAACTTGTAGAAGTCCATACACTGTCAGAGAAAGAACTAATTCTACCTGGTTTTTCTCATAAGTTAAAGGCAAGGCGCCATACAAGGTCACCAAAGTGAATCCTTCCAGGTCTCCAGCTGTGCGGTCTTTTAAAAAAAGAAATATATGCTAACATGATATATATTAGAATGATATATTAGAATATATGCTAATGTGACACCCTGGTGTCACCAGGACACGAGGTGATGAAGGATACAGAGAAGGCAGTGTTGCTGAATGTCGTCTTTGCTTCAGCCTTTACTGCTAAGGCCAGCCCTCAGGAATTCCAGACCCTGGAGACAAGAAAGAAAGTCTGGAGAAACAAAGACTTAGTTGAGGAGGATCGGGTTAGAGAACATTTGTCCAAACTTGACATCCACAAATCCATGGGCCTTGACGGGATGCACCCACGAGAGCTGAGGGAGCTGTCAGATGTTATTGCTAGGTCACTCTCCATCATCTTGGAAAGGTCCGGGAGAACAGGAGAGGTGCCTGGGGCCTGGAAGAAAGCCAGCGTCACGCTAGTCTTCAAAAAGGGCAAGAAGGAGGACCCAGGAAACTACAGGCCCGTCAGCCTGTTGTTGTCTACCTGGACTTCAGCAAGGCTTTTGATACTGTCTCCCATCACATCCTCCTAGGTAAGCTCAGGAAGTGGGGGCTAGATGAGTGGAGAGTGAGGTGGATTGAGAACTGGCTGGATGGCACAGCTCAAAGGGTTGTGGTCAGTGGCGTGGAGTCTAGTGGGAGGCCTGTGGCTAGCGGTGTCCCCCAGGGGTCAGTCCTGGGACCAGTCTTGTTCAACATATTCATCAATGACCTGGAGGAAGGGACAGTGCGCATTCTCAGCAAGTTTGCTGATGATACTAAACTGGGGGGAGAGGCTAATACACCAGAAGGCTGTGCTGCCATTCAGAGGGACCTGGAGAGGCTGGGGAGCTGGGAGGAGAGGAACCTCCTGAAGTTCAACATAGGCAAGTGCAGGGTCCTGCCCCTGGGGAGGAGTAACCCCATGCACCAGTACAGGCTGGGGGTTGACCTGCTGGGAAGCAGCTCTGCCGAGAAGGACCTGGGAGTGCTGGTGGACAACAAGTTAAACATGAGCCAGCAGTGTGGCGGAGACATGGTACTACTGGAGAGAGTCCAGCAGAGGGCTACAAAGAGGATGAGGGAACTGGAGCATCTGTCCTCTGAAGAAAGGCTGAGAGCGCAGGGCCTGTTCAGCCTGCAGAAGAGAAGATAGAGGCGATCTCATCAACGTGTACAAATATCTGAAGGGGAGGTGTTGAGAGGATGGGGCCAGTCTCTTCTCCGTGGTGCCCAGCGACAGGACAAGAGGCAACGGGCACAAACTTAACCGCAGGAAGTTCCATCTGAACCTGAGGAAAAGCTTCTTCACTGTGAGGGTGACAGAGCACTGGGACAGGTTGCCCAGAGAGGTTGTGGAGACTCCTTCCCCGGAGATATTCAAAACCCGCCTGGATGTGATCCTGGGCAATGTGCCTGCTGGAGCAGGGGGATTGGACTAAATGATCTCCAGAGGTCCCTTCCAACCTTGGCCATTCTGTGAGAAATATATCTGGAGGCAGACTGCCTGAGAACGTATGGTAACTCACAGCTCTCATACATTAGGAGGTCAAGTTAAAATCTAGGCAGAAGCCTGGCCTTGATCTGCTCAACTGTAAGACCATCTCAGAACTCACAGTTGAAGGAAGGGAAACTCCCTGATATAGGTCAGTCTGGCATGAAAAAGCTTCATGGCAATCACTGGCCTTTCCCAATACATCAAGCTTTACTAGCAGTGTTTAAATCAGCACTGTAAAGCTTTTACTAAGAGCCACTAATTTTGTCTTGGTTTCCGAGTAAGTTCTCAATGCCAGAAAATAGTATTCACAATTGCTGATTCAAATGTGCTGTGAAGCATGTCCTCTCTTCATTCACTTCTGTTCTCTCTCAGTCATTAGAGTGCTTGCTGGGGACTGAGGAATGCTAACAGCAAGCAGAACAGCAAAAGAAAAACACTGGTGATGGTGGAGGCAGAGCTGCTGGCTTTAATACACTCATTGTATCGTACAAAATCAACTTCCCTGATGGCACAAACATGGTCAATGCGGCAGGCCTCCTCACACAGGGCAAGGTCATATTTGACAGAGTTGAACTCATAATACTGCTGCAGATACTGCGTATCCTTTGATATCCTCTCCAGCACTGTGTGCATGGACCGGGCAGAGCCATCAGGGACTTGGAAAGCTTCCGTCAGCCTATACTCTTTCTCCCACATTGGGAACATCGTATTAGCATGAGTTAGATTTAAATAGTAAGTCACCATATCCTGCAGGGAGAAAAAAATATAACAAGGAAAAAAAAAATGAGGAAAGGATCAGCCCTTGAGTGAAGCAGTTGACTGAGATCTGATCAGCCCATTCTCCTAGATGCTGGTGTGTAGCACAACGAAGAGCTTTCAGCAGCAGGCAGCACACCTGGTGGGAGGTAAGCTGCCTCCCAACAGATGCTTCCTACCAAGATGTGAACCTGAGGAAAGATGCCTCAAGTGAGAGCATTCAGCACTCACTATAAAAGCAATTTTAGCCCATTTTACTATTGTATAAGTGTTGAAAGGTTGACTTTTCTCTGCTTTTCCTCTGCTTGTATTTTGAAACATCAGAAATTTTGAGCCTGATCTGCTCCAAAAAAATTCACTCTGGTATTCATTATCAACATTGTCCTCTGGCAGGAGGAGCAGCTGGAGAAGTGTTACAGGGTTGAGCAGTTATTTACTCAAACGTGAACAAAGTTAAACAAAAAAGTTCTAAAAAACCTTCTGTTTGCAAACCTTTTCTGTTTTTTTTCTGTTTGCTCTTTTTCTCTCTGCCTTGCTTCACTAGCTCTCTAGCTTTGCGCAGTATATTTTAGGACAGACAAGCATGCATTTCTTATGCTGCAAACATGCAAATACAGTATCTGCAGAGGTGCTTTATCCCTTGCAAAGAAAGGTACAAGAACACCATCCTCCACCTTTTTGCAAATGAAAGACAAAGGAAATGGAAGTCTTCGTCTTCCCTACAATTCAACTAACTTCTGATCCTATTACAAAATGAATTAATTCAGAACATAGGTGGGACCCAAATAATTTTCTAGACAGCTAGAGTTTTTGAAGGGTGTTCAGCAAGCCTGTTAGTCCCCAAAGACAGTTCTGGAATCCACATTACCTGGGCTGTAAAGCAAGCGTAAAAGGAGATTAATTGAAGATATGAAGAACAAACAAGTCTGAACTCTCTTGCATTGCCATGGGACTCATCCCAGCAGGAGGCCTGAGCCAGTCGAATGTAGTGTCATTGCCCTTACTCACTGACACTCTTTAAAACTTTGTGCTAGCCACAAGACTGAAATACCTTGTTTTACATCCTCTGCTACATAGCCTCTTGGCTCCCTGTAGTCCTGCTTGTTAAAAAGAGGTGGGAGAATTAAAGCACCCAACTGAGACTGCAGTACAAAGCATGATGGTGTCCCCTACCTTTACTTGAAGGGTGTCTGGATCGTAATCAATCACCCGGATCCCAGGGTTGTTGGCTCCATTGGCCACTCCAGGTAACGTTGTTTTCCAAGGAGTCACTCCAGGGGCTAAGAACATGACATTGATTGGAGAACCTTAATAGAAAGACAAAAGAAACCATGAGTCAGAGAGGTCTGGCTTGGAGCAGACAACGAGCATCCTGGCCACTGAGCACCTTGCACCCATTGCTCACCAGATCCAGTTACAATAATGCACGCAGAAAGATCTGATGCTATTCAACACACTGAGATTGAATACGTGACATTTCCAGCTAAAAGCAGGCCTTCTGCAGCTTGGCATGAGTGGAAGACTCTACAGTGAGGGTGAGCAAGAGAACCACCCTCAGTGAACGAGACCCAAAGAGCCATTGTGAAGACCTACAGTTGCTCCCTTAGGTCTCAGCTAAGGTCCAGAAACCATCAGTATGGAGCAGGACGAGCAGCAAGGCACTGTGAGAGGAAACAACAAATGAGAGGGGAAGCAGGAAGGACAGCTGGAGCTACAGGTCTGGGTGGGGAATCCCATCCACTGTTGTGTCTTGTTGACCAAAGCATTTTACAAGACGTTTTAGAAAGCAAGACGTAAATGAGCCTTTTCTGACTTGTTGGCTGCAGTCACCGAAAACCCTCTTCAACAATGATTTTTTGGGGACTGAACAGAGCTATCATGCAAATACTTGGGTAGCCAGATTTGATACCTGTATCACTGTAAAACATCCGAAAGCTGTCAGTGTGGTGGTGTCCAAAAAACTGGGCAGCAATCACTCTGTGGTGCCTCTGCACTATTTTCAGGTATCGTTCATTAAAGTTACTCCGGAACCAGGGCTTGCTTCTTTTCTTCTCGAAGAAGCCAGGAGGGATGTGCCCAGCAATGTAAACCTACAAGAGCAAAGAGCTGCGCTGAATGTAGATCCCATGCTTCCCAAAGAGAGCACTGGCTTGCTGGTCCTTGGCACACAAGAGAGATCAGGAGTGAAAGGACCTTCCAGGCTGGGAGAAGCCCTCTACAAAGGCATGGGGGCTTTTGTTTTTGTGTGGGCTTTTTTTTTTTTTTTTAAAATACCATTTCTTCTGCTTTTGAGGCGTTGGTCAATGTTTCTTCCAACCACCGGAACTGCCCTCCAGGATCTTCCTCACCAGCCGTCTGGTTATTCTGGTCATAGTACAGATTGGTATTGAGGACAATCATTCGCCCACTTGTATTTGGGCTGGGCAGCTTCTCACTGTAGAAAGCAGCTGTAAAATGCAACCAGCAGGAGAAAGAGCTGGAATTCTGGCCACACAGCCAATTGTGTCCCCAAATCCCCGGGCTTTTACCTCTCTCAGCTCTCCTTGGCAATAGTCACAGCAGAGTCACTATCTAGACAAGGTGCCAGCAGCTCTGACTGGTTCCAGAGTAACCAGCAGCTCTGACCAATCCAGGATATGGATTTGGTGTGACTCTTCCCTGTGTCTTCTTGTCCCGCATATGCCACTCAAGGTGAAGAGAGACCCTGGGTTTTAAGAGTATGTGCAGGACAGTCCAGGAGCTGGGAAGCTATAGATAGCTACTGTTGTGGTTTTCTTGAAAGATCTTTTTTATTTTCACTGAAGCTCACCATCCTCTGCAGGGACACTTTCCTAAAACTCTAGGAAAGCACGGAGAGACTAAAGCATAAAGAAAGTCCTTTTCCCACATGCAGGAAAACTCAGTGCTAGGAATCAATCTTAAATTGGACCCTTCCTCTACAAACACTGCGGCTTGGGGAATAAAAGCAGAGACAGCACGTTCATGGTGACTTTCCCAACCACCCTATCTTCCCAGGACACTGCTGACACGGGCTAGTGGTGCCACACCTGCTCTGAACAGAGGAATGGAAGTATCGTTCAGCCAGGAGCGCCACAGTTCAGCTGTTTGGTTGTAGATCCTGTGCTCCTCCCCTGGAAACTGATTCTTGGGGTGGAAGTCATGATTGCCCATCACAGCGTAGACTTTAGTTTCTAGAGAAAGAGAAAAGGAAGCACAGAGGAATCCAAGCTTGCTCCAGAGTTCTTCAGCACCAAAGCTCTCTAGAGAGCTTACAGACTCAAAAAGAATAGCATGGCTGGAGAGCTTCATAAAAGGTTATCATCCACACTAAACTCCTGTGGTTGCACGGACTGGGGATACAATACTGCAAGACCATGTGTCCTCAGGGAAGCCACCCCAGAGCAAGACTGCTATGTTTTTACAGATGGAGTCAGTGAGATTTCCTTGTCAGTAATACTTCTTCTCCCACTAAGCGAGAATAAATTTTGTAGCTTCGTTTTTCTTAATGAGTAGTTATAGAAATGTTTCTTTTCCACTCTTCTGAGTGAATTAATCTGAAATAGCAAGGGTGTGTTAGACATGCCTCAATCAAACAGCCTGTACAGCAACTAGGAAGAAGACAAAGTAGTCCTAATGCCCACAGCATTTCAGTGCCTTTCCCCTTCTTAATTATATCATTTCTCCAGAATGGTAAGTTCTTCCCATGAGACTTTGTACTCCTCTCCCCTATTCATTCTCTCAGATCCTACCTGGAAATATCTGTTTTATCAGAGAAGTCAGATTTTCAATTATGTGCAGAACCTGTTTTTCTCCAAGCTGCTCATTGGGGACATGAGGAGTATCATCTCTGGAGAAAACAAATGAACAAACAAAAAAATAACAAACAAAAAAACATTATGGGGCACGAATCAGCACTACGTTGACTGGCAAGGGCACTAAGAGAGTTTCAAGGAACTGCTCACAGTAAAAACCTGCTCTGCTTTAGTCTACCTTGAAAAACCTATACACAAGCATAAGAAATTGAGCCTTATTCTACCTCAGTGTATTTAACAGATGCTACAGATGACTGGCGATCTTGTGAGGAACAGCGTTTCACAGTCTGGTAGTAAATTTGGTCAGCAGTGGTAAAACAAAACTCTTTGTTTTATTTTCAATGGAAGAGTTGTTATCCTGCTGCTCTCTTGAGTACAAACGGATGCCTCCAGTAAGCCAATGACCATTGAGATCTACCTCTAAAAACCTAGCAGATACACATTTCAATGTTTTCACTAATATGCTTTTAGCATATGTAGACAATATCAGCTGGTAAGGATTATAAGCCCATTGAAAGATAAGACTAAAATACAGGAAGATTTTGAAGAACGAGGATAAATAGTTTGAGAAAATGTAAAACAAGACAGAAGTTTTAAAGACCAACAACTATTTCTAAGTAGGAATGATCATCTGCACAAATATATAAAGTGGGAACAGTGGGTTAGTCAACAGCGCTGCAGATCAGGATTGGGAGTTACAAAAGCTCATAGCGAACACTGTGCTGTTAGAAGAAGCAGGAAACATTACAGAGGGATGTATGAACTTACAGAAATCATGCCAAACAAGTCTTTCACTGTTTGCAAGTGCTATTAGGGCCTCCTGTAAGGTGGCCACTTCTGGACACCATACTACAAAAAAAGCTCCATTTGGGGAGGCTCTTCATAGTTGTAAAGAAAATTAGCTCCTTTTTGAGGTAAGTCTTCCAGGTTCCTCTGTGTAGTTTGAAGAAATGCTGCAAGCCCTTCTCGTGGTGCCTCTAACAAGGCAGGACTTTGTACACCAACAAAATGAATACGTTCCATTCCCCCAAGCATTTTCAGGTATTCAAAATTTGTGTGAAGTGAGACTAGGCTGGCAACAATTGGAGAAGAAGAAAGGATGGTGAATTCTAACACCTTCCCTCATCTTACCTGGAGTTTTTCAGAGAATCCCTCATTGCTGGGGCTCGTTCAAAGCATGGCCTCCCACTCCTAACAGCCTCGCTGTGCCCTCAGCTCCGTACAGCTCCACTAGCAGACTCCATTTTGTACTTTAAGGCGTATCCAAATCTCACCTCTCCAAAATGGTTACCTTAAGAACCCTGAATCTACCGTGAACTCTTCACCTCCAAGTCCTCTGGCTCCCCATTCTCTAATAACAGCTCTCAGCCAAACACTGGCAATGCCCAAAGCACGCAGGATCATGTCATAAACTGAAAGCGTGAGTAAACACAGAACCAGTACTACCAATTTTTGGATTATTTGGGCTTCCCCCCCTCCCCCGTCACAAGAAGATTCCTAAAAATGCAAACATGGGTATTCACCTCCTAGAGCTTCAGCAAAATGATGGAAAACACTAGCCTAGAAGAGCTGGGATTTCCTCATTTTTACACGTAAAGCTGAAGTACAGCTTCAAAGCCTATCCTATACCCGCTTTTTTCTGAGGGACGGGCCGGTGAAGCGGCCCGACCCTTGAGGGGGCG